TTTTTAAATTATTTTAAATTTTTAAAAATTATTTTTAAATTATTTAAATTTTTTTAATTTAAAAAAAATAATTTTTAAAAAATTTTTTTAAATTTTTATCTCATTTTTCCAGGCTTTAAAATACGCTTTTCAAACCAACGACCGGCTTTGCTTCGTCATGGAATACGCCAACGGCGGAGAGGTGAGAATTTCACACCTGAAATCACAGAATTTCAAAATTTTTAAAAATTATTTTTAAATTATTTAAATTTTTTTAATTTAAAAAAAATAATTTTTAAAAAATTTTTTTAAATTTTTATCTCATTTTTCCAGGCTTTAAAATACGCTTTTCAAACCAACGACCGGCTTTGCTTCGTCATGGAATACGCCAACGGCGGAGAGGTGAGAATTTCACACCTGAAATCACAGAATTTCACACCTGAAATCACCATTTTTTCATGATTTATTAACAAATAACAGAAATAATCCATTTTTCAACATTTATTATTCCACAATTTCCTCAAAAAAAAGGTAGTTTTGGGAGATTTTCCTGCCTCTTTGCTCATTTTCCTCAGGGATGAAGCGTCTCCTCATCATCACCCGACACGGTGACACCCAAATTGCACTGATTTTTGGAGATTTTGGGGTTTTTTGAGCATTTTTAACCAATAATTCTCTTTTTTAACTCATTTTCTTCCCCTTTGAAGCTGTTTTTCCCCCTCTCAAGAGAACGTGTCTTCACGGAGCACCAATCCCGGTTCTACGGCGCCAAAATCATCTCATTGTTGGGATTAACCCAAATTTCACTGGTTTTGGGGGGTTTTTTGGGAGGTTTTTGGGGGTTTTTTTTGGTTTTTAGCATTTTTAACCAATAATTCTCTTTTTTTACTTATTTTCTTTCCCTCTCAAGCTGTTTTTCCACCTCTCAAGAGAACGTGTCTTCACGGAGGACCGAGCCCGGTTCTACGGCGCCGAGATCGTCTCGGCGTTGGAATATCTCCACTCCCGGGACGTCGTCTACAGGGACATCAAGGTACCGACCCCCCAATGTCCCAAAATCGGTGGTTTTGGGGTGAAAAATCCCTCCCAGGTCCCCCCAAAAAATCACCCCCAGGGTCTTTGGAAGAGTTTGAGTTGAGAGGAGCCAAGTTTTTCCGCTCCAGGTCGTTGTGGGGCCCAAGATCTTAAAAAAAAACCCAAAACTTCAAAAAAAAATCCCCCAAATCTTCAAAAAACCCCAAAATATTCCAAAAAAATCCCCCAAATCTTCAAAAAACCCCAAAATATTCCAAAAAAATCCCCCAAATCTTCCAAAAAACCTGCCAAATCTTCAAAAAAAAAAACCCCAAATCTTCAAAGAAAACCCCCAAAATCTTAAGAAAACGCCAAAACTTCAAAAAAAATTCCCAAAACTTAAAAAACCCCAAAATCTTCCAAAAAAACCCCAAAATCTTCCAAAAAAACCCAAAATCTTCCAAAAAAACCCCAAAATCTTCCAAAAAAACCCAAAATCTTCCCAAAAAAAACCCAAAATCTTCCCAAAAAAACCCCAAAATCTTCCCAAAAAAACCCCAAAATCTTCCAAAAAACCCCAAAACTTCAAAAAAAAAAATCCCAAACTTCAAAAAACCCCTAAAATCTTCCAAAAAACCCTCAAATCTTAAAAAAAACCTAAAGTCTTCCCAAAAATCCCCAAATCTTAAAAAAAAATCCCAAAATCTTTTAAGAAACCCCAAAAATCTTCAAAAAATCCCAAAATCTTCCAAAAAAAAAACCCCAAATTTTTAAAAAAACCCCAAAATTCTTCCAAAAAAACCCCAAAATCTTAAAAAAAATCCCAAAATCTTAAAAAAAACCCAAAACATCTTGAAAAAAATCCCAAAAATCTTCCAAAAAAATCCCAAAAATCTTCAGAAAAAAAACCCCAAAATCTTGAAAAAAAAAAACCCAAAAATCTTTAAAAAATTTCCTCAAAATCTTCGAAAAAATCCCAAATCCCAAAATATTAAAAAAAATCCCAAAATCTTCAAAAAAACCCCCAAAAAATCTTAAAAAAAACCCAAAAATCTTCCAAAAAACCCCCCAAAAATCTTAAAAAAAAATCCCAAATCCCAAAATCTTAAAAAAAATCCCCAAATCTTCCAAAAAAATCCCAAAACTTCAAAAAAACTTTAAAAAAACTCCAAAAAAAATCCAAAAATTCCGAAAAAATAAAAAAAATCATAAAAAATAAAAAAAAAAAAAACGAGAAAAAAAATTGAAAAAAAAAAAACAAAAATCTTTAAAAAATCCCCAAAATCTTCAAAATAACCCCAAAAATCTTCAAAAAAAACCCCCCAAATTAAAAAAAAAAATGACAAAAATTTCCAAAAATCCCAAAATCTTAAAAAACCCACCAAAAATCTTCTCAAAAAAACCCCAAAATTTTTTTTAAAAACCCAAAATTTTCAAAAAAAAAACCAAAATTTTTTTAAAAAAACAAAAATTTTCAAAAAACCCCCAATCCAATTTTTTTTTCCCAAATTTCCCATTTTTTTCCTCTTTCCCAGCTGGAGAATCTGATGCTGGACAAGGACGGTCACATCAAGATCACGGACTTTGGGCTCTGCAAGGAGGGGATCACGGACGGTGCCACCATGAGGACCTTCTGCGGGACCCCCGAGTACCTGGCCCCCGAGGTACCTCTGACCCCAGAAACGAGGTGTTCCTCCAAAAATCTGCTGCTGGGGAGGTTCCTCCCCAAATCCCAAGATGGTGGTGGGTCAATGGGGGCTTTTCCAAGCTCTTGGGTGGCAGGAGTGGTGGCATCTACCATGGGTTCCTCTTGGGTCTCAAGAGTGGTGGCATCTAGGATGGGTTCCTCATGGGGTGGTTGTATCTAGGATGGGTTGAGCTTGAGGTGGTTGTATCTACAATGGGTTCCTCTTGGGTCTCAAGAGTGGTGGCATCTACCATGGGTTCCTCTTGGGTCTCAAGAGTGGTGGCATCTACCATGGGTTCCTCTTGGGGTGGTGGCATCTAGGATGGGTTTCTCTTGGGGTGGTTGTATCTGGGATGGGTTCCTCTTGGAGTGGTTGTATCTGGGATGGGTTGAGCTTGAGGTGGTTGTATGTACAGTGGGTTCCTCTTGGGTATCAAGAGTGGTGGCATCTACGATGGGTTCCTCTTAGGTTGGTTGTATCCAGGATGGGTTGAGCTTGGGGTGGTTGTATCTACAATGAGTTGAGCTTGAGGTGGTTCCTCTTGAGGTGGTTGTGTCTAGGATGGGTTCCTCTTGGGTTTCAAGAGTGGTGGCATCTATGATGGGTTCTTCTTGAGGTGGTTGTATCTACAATGGGTTCCTCTTGGGGTGGTTGTATCTACAATGAGTTGAGCTTGAGGTGGTTCCTCTTGGGGTGGTGGCATCTAGGATGGGTTCCTCTTGGATCTCAAGAGTGGTTGTATCAAGGATGGGTTCCTCTTTGGTTGTATCTCAGGTGGGTTCCCCTCCTCCATCTCCACATTGTTTCCTGGTTCTCCACCTTCACCCATCACTCTCCTCTCCCATCTTCTCCTACCTCAGGTCTTGGAGGACAACGACTACGGCCGCGCCGTGGACTGGTGGGGTTTGGGGGTCGTCATGTACGAGATGATGTGCGGTCGCCTCCCCTTCTACAACCAGGACCACGAACGTCTCTTTGAGTTGATCCTGATGGAGGAGATCCGGTTCCCTCGGACCCTCAGCCCCGAGGCCAAGTCCTTGTTGGCCGGGTTGTTGAAGAAGGACCCCAAACAAAGGTGAGGTTCCTCCAAAGATGGATGGAGAAGACAACCAAGATGATACCAACAGGTTCTTCAAGATGGTGTCACCTTGAAGGGTTGATGGTTGAGGTGTCACCTCAGGGGTTGATGGTTGGGTGTCACCTGAAGGGTTTGGTCACCTGAAGGGTTGATGGTTGGGTCTCCTTGGTCACCAAGCCACCTTCTTCTCCTACAACCTCATTTTCTTGTCCACGTCATTGTTGGGTGTCACCTGAGGGGTTTGGTGTCACCTTGAAGGGTTGGTGGTTGGGTGTCACCTCAGGGGTTTGGTGTCACCTGAAGGGTTGGTGGTTGAGGTGTCACCTCAGGGGTTGATGGTTGGGTGTCACCTGAAGGGTTTGGTGACATCTGAAGGGTTGGTGGATGGGTGTCACCTCAGGGGTTGGTGTCATGTGAAGGGTTGATGGTTGGATGTCACCTGAAGGGTTTGGTCACCTGAAGGGTTGATGGTTGAGGTGTCACCTCAGGGGTTTGGTGTCACCTGAAGGGTTGATGGTTGGGTCTCCTTGGTCAACAAACCACCTTCTTCTCCTACAACCTCATTTTCTTGTCCATGTCATTGTTGGGTGTCACCTGAGGGGTTTAGTGTCACCTGTAGGGTTGGTGGTTGAGTGTCACCTGAAGGGTTTGGTCGTTGGGTGTCACCTCAGGATCTGGTGTTGGGTGTCACCTGAAGGGTTGGTGGTCACCTGAAGGACTTATGGTTGGGTGTCACCTGAAGGGTTTGGTGACATCTGAAGGGTTGGTGGTTGGGTGTCACCTCAGGGGTTGGTGGTTGGTGTCACCTGAAGGGTTGATGGTTGGGTGTCACCTGAAGGGTTGATGGTTCGGTGTCACCTCAGGGGTTGGTGGTTGGTGTCACCTTGAAGGGTTGATGATGGTTGAGGTGTCTCTATCTCCCCGTAGACTCGGTGGAGGTCCCAGCGACGCCAAGGAGGTGATGGAACATCGTTTCTTCACCCCCATCAACTGGCAGGACGTGGTTCAGAAGAAGGTAGGAAGGGTTGGGAGAAGTTCCAAGGGGCCAGGTGGACACCTCAACCAGGTGGACACCTCAACCAGGTGGACACCTCAACCAGGTGGTTTCTCCTCTTCTCCATCAGCTGGTCCCACCATTCAAACCTCAAGTGACGTCCGAGATCGACACTCGATATTTCGACGACGAGTTCACGGCTCAGTCCATCACCATCACCCCCCCCGATCGCTGTGAGTGCCACGGCCACCCCCACCTGGGACCTTCTCCTGGGTCACCAGCCCACCACCACCTTCTTCTCCTACAACCTCATTTTCTTGTCCACATCATTGTTGGGTGTCACCTGAGGGGTTTGGTGTCACGTGAAGGGTTGGGTGTCACCTACCTGAAGGGGTTGGTGTCACCTCAGGGGTTGGTGTCACCTGAGGGGTTGATGGTTGGGTGTCACCTCAAGGGTTTTATGGTTGTGTGGCGCCTTAAGGGTTTGGTGTCACCTGAAGGGTTGATGGTTGGGTGTCACCTCAAGGGTTTGGTGTCACCTGAAGGGTTGATGGTTGGGTGTCACCTCAAGGGTTTGGTGTCACCTGAAGGGTTGATGGTTGGTGTAACCTGAGGGGGTTGGTGTCACCTCAGGGGTTGGTGGTTGGGTGTCACTTGAAGGGGTTGGTGTCACCTGAAAGGTTGATGGTTGGTGTCACCTCAGGGGTTTGGTGTCACCTGAAGGGTCGATGGTTGGTGTAACCTGAGGGGTTGATGGTTGGGTGTCACCTCAAGGGTTTGGTGTCCCCTGAAGGGTTGATGGTTGGGTGTCACCTCAGGGGTTGGTGTCACCTGAGGGGTTGATGGTTGGGTGTCACCTCAAGGGTTTGGTGTCCCCTCAGGGCTTGGTGGTCACCCCAACTCCCATCCCACCAACATCTCCCTCAGCTTCCCCCCAACTCCCATCTTGGGGGGGGGGTTTTTTGGGGTGTTTTTACCAGATGACAACGTGGACTCGCTGGAGAACGACCAACGGACGCACTTCCCCCAGTTCTCCTACTCGGCCAGTATCCGGGAGTAACTGGGACCAGTAGCTCCGGCCCTGGAGGAGGAGGAGGAGGAGGAAGAGGAGGA